TACTTCCCCTAAAGTATACGTACTCTTTCTCTCTTCCCTTACTTCCCTTAAAGTACCGTACTCTCTCTCTCTCTTCCCTCTCACTCTTTTTTAATTTAGAAAATTGAGCTCTTGCTTTTTCTCTCTTCCCTTAGAGATATGAATACATCTTACAACCTCTATACAATTGCGAATCCTTCTTATTTTTGCGACACGTGTCCACCATTTAACTCTTGTCTAGTAATATAATATAGATATTAAACTTGGCTATAAGATACATACTTTATATAAACATTATAATATTCTATATCAATGTTGTCAAACCCGCTACATTTTGGCCGAAGAGGTTGAAACCTTCATATTTTAGATCAAAACCCAAGCGAAGAGAAGCATGGTGTTGTTCCTTCAGTCAGATTCGACAAAGCTTCGACTTAAACAAAAAAATATCTACATAAGAATTTTTTTATATAATTTTATTTTTTTGAAATTTTTATTCATTATTTTTATACATTTATATATATAAATATCTAATTTACTTGTATTAAATTTTAAAAAAATCCAAAGTCTTCCCCCATAAATCGGCTAAATCATTGAATTACTTCATTTTTCTCATCAAACTGAAAAAGACTTGGAGGCGAATCTGACAACATGGTTTTATATACTTTCTGAGCCCTCTTTTATTCCCAATGAGAAAGGCGTGTAAGTATTCGTTGTACAAAGATTCAACCCACAAGTGGATTAAAAGATTAGATCACTACTTTGCTTTTTGTAATTTTAATCTCCACACATTTCTATGGCAATTTATTTTTTTTATGTCTGAAATTTTTGCCATTTCAAAATTGAGTTGCTTTTATTTTTGTTTTTAATGTTATTGTATTTGACATTTTATAGTTAACTTTGGATGCTATCCGGTTGGTTCCTGACGGAATTTACAAAATCTTTTATTCCCTTATTCTAATAATATTAAAGTTCGCTACAAGGTGCATTGTCTATTTTTAAAAATATTTCCCATATTTTTAGTAATCATTTGACATTCTTTTCTAACACTATCTCTTTGATATATAGATTAAATTAGTAACAATGCTATATTGTGTTGAAATATTTATTTTTATTTTTCAAATTTAAATCTCAAAATATTATTGCTTTTGAATTTCATTTATCATTGAATTTCCTTTTGTAAAGGCAACATTATTATATAAAATTTAAATTAAAAATTGCCACAAAAGTTGTATGCTGCAAAAACTACTTTATAATTGATTTTTAACTTTCCTCCAATGAACTCTTAAATTCTTCATGAGAAAATGATGACTTTCATTAATTATTTAAATAGCTTTGTGTTTTGAAAGATTCTTACGCTTTGAAAGTTATATATATTAACTTTTGAAAAGCTCTAAATACCAAATTTGATTAGAAATTTCTAATGATTTCAAAAAGTTGACTCCAAATTGGAGGATAAATCTTTCTGGCATGGCCGTGGTTACATATTTTCTGAGTATTTTGTTATTTACTTAGTATAAGTTTTTTCATTTTCATATTGTTTTTTATTTTTCCCTCCCTAATTATATTTCTAAATGCCACACACGCAAATCCACCACTAGAGTATTACATTACACATTGATGAGGGGTTTTAGGCTTTGGTAGTAGAAGTTAAAAAAAGAGGAATTTTTTTGCTGTGGAAAAAAACCATAATTAAAAGCCTCCTGTGAAAAAGCTTGATTGAAAAATATATAGTGCCACGTGTTATAAAAATAAGGAAAATTTCTTGGGCTAAGTCGAAAATGAGAAAGATCCAACATTTAATGTGCTCCTAATGTAGTAAGTTGTGTATCCACTTTAAAAGGCCTTACAATTTTCTTTTAATCTAACATTTCGACACTAACTTCAACAAAACTGACATTTGTTATCATGAAAGAAATTTACTATTTAAAAAAATCTCACCCAAAGAAGTATATACTGTAAGGGATATAAAACTAAAAGAGCCAAGCTAATTTTTCCACGTCATTTGCCCGGTATCAAAACCAAATATCCAAACCTCAAAGCAGCGAAGCAATTCTTGAATGACACCTGTTGCACGAACTTGGTAATATTTTATATACGGAAGATAAGATATAAATTTTATATATTTTAAAATAAATATTTGAAACAGAATATAATATGGAATTTACCCAAATAAGATTTATTTTATTATAAAATCAAATTTGTTATAGAAAGTTCATTTTAAAATATTAATTCATTTAAATCTAATTAGATTTAAGTTTACAAATAAAGAATACTCTATTTTGGTAGGAGAATGAAAATCAACATAATCAAGTTTAATAGGAGAATGAAAATCACTATAATCAAGTATATGAAGTTAGTAAGATGACAGCTATATTTGGGTTCCAAATCATATAATAATTAAGAGACTTACGAGAATTCATATCATTTTATGAGCTCTAGTATATCAAAGGATCAAATCATTTAATGAATCATATACGTACATAATAATTTTAATTGTTAATTTCGGGTGTACCTTCTAATTTGTTCATTTAAAGCGTTCGACAAATAGTTGAAAACGTTCATGATTCTATGTTTTTCATTTGATTACAAATAATTGTAAATTAAAATATAATTTATCAAATTATACCTGAGAGTTGATTTTAGAAAAGTTAATTTAAATAAACAAAATTTAGTTACCAAAGTGCTCTTAAAAAGTTTAATATTAATTTATAATCTAAATAAATTTATAAGTTTGGGCTCATTTTTTTTACCTAAAGTGGAATTATATTCCTGTTAATAAGAATCTATAAATTTTTAATGGCACTAAAATTTGAATTTTTAGATTGTAATCGATAAACAAAATTAATTTAATAAATTTCTTACACCTAGCTAAAATTCAATTTTAAATATGATTATAATAATTGTTAAATATAAAAACAATGTGAATCACAAATAATTGTTAAAAATCTACTTATAATTATGATGTCAACTAAATTATATTTAATATTCAAATATTAAATAACTTTTGAAATTGTGCTAAATTTAGGGGAAGGATTTGCCCACCCACTCGGATATATTTTGTATGGTATATAAGTTTCTTTTTTATTGAAAATGAAAATAAAATTTTATTAATAAAAAATATAAATTGTAGTGTGTATGGCCTTTTGAACAATTTGATTTAAAAATTGTAATAGGATGAATTAGAAGTTTATTTATAGGAAAATACTTTGATAGGGCTGCAACGCTATCGAAGTAAGTAAAGCGTCACCTCATAACTCATCGTAAATTATAATTCAAGCATTGGAAAACCTTTAAATGGGTCACTTGGGCTTGAACATTATGGCCGGTCAAAAAATTAGACTTTCGAGCTCCAAAAATAATGTATATTAACAAATTATCTAGACTGCCTATTTTGTCATAAAATAAATGTTCATATATCTGCAAGATCTATATCATTTTTTAAGTTTTCAAATTTAATTTTCGGTGTTTGAAATTGATTTTAAAGCCATCATGTGGATTTTTGTGGCCAAAAGTGCTTTTGAGACGAGGGCTGGAGGCCGGGCTTTATTTTGTTTTCATAAAGCCTAAGCCTTATAGAAAGATCTGTACTATTTTTTAAAAGGAAATGTTTGTATACTTCCCCTACAACATAGAAGATCTATGCTTCTCCTATCATCCAACCGTCCAATTTTGATCAAGTGAGCTACTTATCGTTTGATCTTATATCTGACGCTTCAGAGTATTTTATATTTAATTTTTTTAGACAAATTTTATGAATATGAAATTTGGCACGTGCCATCTACTCATTGGGGCGCACCTACAAAAAACATTAAAAATATTTTTTGACAAAATATAATGACTAAAATACCCCTATAATCTTTTAAAGGTATTTTGGTCATTTTATTTTATTTGGAATATTATTTTTATATTTTTTACAACTGCGAGTTTAATAGAGGATTGGATGCCCAAAATTTGGTGTCAAAATGTTTTATACAAAAAAAACTTAAAAATAAAATAGTGTAGAGAGGTGACATTGTGATTGGGGCAATCTTAGCCAATGAGAAGTTTATAAGTTTTATATTGTTGGGGAAGGAGAGAAGGCTTGCCCTTTTTTTAGTTTCGAATTTTATTTTTAGTGTTGAAAATTGATTTTAAAGTACTTAGGATTTAGGGATAGACCTTTTTTTTTTCTAAGGAAAAAGTTTATATAGAGCCGAGGTTCTAAATAATCAAATTAGAGCTTACCTCAAAAATTTCACTAAAAGAGGTTGATTTGAAATTCAAATATCTTCAAATTGATCATCACGACATCTAGATGTATAGGCATGAGAAAAAAATGGATTCCAAGTTTTGGAAATAGCACAGCATTTTGGAATGTCAATTTTCAAGATTTTCAAGTTTTCATAGATCTGCTCGATCTACACTATTCTTGAAGCTTGAAATTTTATAATTAAAGATGATAATATATATTAAGGGAAAAGTTTATATAAGGTTGCAACTTTAAAATGTAGAATCACATATGCACCTAAAATATCTATTGAAAAGGCTGTTGTAATGTTGAAAAACCCTCTAATTGATCATCTCAACATCGAGATGTATGAATATTAAAAAAAAAAAGTTTTTGAACAATAATAATAGTGAATCTTACAACATATTATCTAGACAATCCATTTTCAAGTTTTTTATATATTTATAGATCTACTTGATTTTAACCATTTTTGAAGTTTAAAATTTTCTAATTAGATATGAAAATAAATTTTAAGATAATCCTAAAAAATTTTTACAACAAAATTACAAGTTACGATAAAATTTGGAAGTGCGCTTTAGTTGGATTGTTTAATGTTGCAACCTTATAAAGCTATCACTAAGATTTCCAGTAGTGAAACCACAATTCTTGATACTATTGGAAGGTGCGCCTTACTTTGATTTTTAGAGCCTCGGCTCTATACATACCGACCCTTTTCATAAAGCCCAGGCCCTATGGAAACTTCATCCTTATTTATTCATCATGGTGCAGTGCACGTACAGTGAAATAATAGTGAAATACGAGCGTTCTGAGACTGCATATTTTTAGGGGCAGAAAGAGATTGTACGGCTGAGATTTGTTCATTTAGGAAATAGGAGAGAGAGACCATTTTATAGACTGAAAGCGATTGTATGGTCCTGCGGGAGAAAACTCGAGTCATCATCAGGCGGAAGAGAGAAAACCATTTGACCTGAGAGCGGACGGCCGGTATTATTTCTCGCTTTACGAGAGGGAGTGACATGGCCTCAATCCTCAGTTTCCAACCAGGGGTTTTCCGGCCAAATTTCCGGCCAAAAGCCATTAGTGGCCGCAAATACGGAGTAGCTGCAGAGTTACATTCCAATTCATCTACTGGTATCAAAGAAGAAGAAGAATCAGGTTCAAGTTCCACTTCAACTCTCTCACCTCCCAATTTCAAGCCTCCTGAGCCTAAAAGATTCGCAGTTCGCCCTGATAAGTTCCTCGACATTTTGGGAGCTTCTCTTGCATTACCGCTTCGTCTTGGTACTGGAATTTTTGTTCAAGGGTATAGTACTTTCTCCTAATTATCTCTTCATCCATAATAATTTGTGTCTCTCCCTTGCACTTTGTATCAATTTATTCAAATCCGAAGAACAATACTTGTCATTCGTGGTTGAATTGTTGTACTTTCTTATTTATTTATTTATTTATTAAATTATAGTGGTTAGTTCTTTTTCTGTTTTGTTTTGCAGTTTCTTTAAGTTTTAGTTGTATTATATGTACGAATTTAGTTTTGCTGTCCTCTCGAGTAGCTATTGAGGAATTGCCGTTGCATTGTTGAATCATGGGTGATATGCATACCTTATGCTCCTCTTTTGTCTTTGTAGGTATAGAGCTTCTTTGGTACCTGAAAAAGAAATACCACCAAGTGAATATGTGTTTCTTAATTTTGCTGGTAATATGGGACATCCCTATTCTCGTATAGATAATTGCTACGTGTTTTTAAGAGAACAGTGGAACTTTTACTGCTTCAAGGAGCAAACTCCATGATTTTAGTTGATTGGCCTATTTTTTAGAAGCCATCGCTATGTATAACTGGTACAAAAACGGCTTTATCAGAATTGAAACTTATTGCTTTATCATAAGGGTGTATATTAGGTAGACTTGCTGGGCATATAATTTGTGGTCTACACCCCCAAAAACATAGTTAGGGGGGATATTTTTATTTTAAAATTTCTAAATCATCTTTGGTCACAATCAAGGTTAATCCCATCGAAAAACTGATCTGGGGTTCAAAAAATGCTCCAAATCTATTCTCTCGCAAACAGACACTAAACGTTCCATTTGAGGGGTGATATATCTAAGGTTTCGAGAGCTAAAAAGGTTTTTCTTTTGTTGCTAGAAATTGTGTATGAAGTGAAACAAAATGACATGAAAATTTTCAAATAGAAAAATCTCCATACAATGTTGTTCAGTGGCTAAAGCTAAACCACCCAAGTTTATGGCTAGGCTTCACCGTGTAAACTTTATCTTTTTAATAATTGAAATTACTAGTTTTTTGTTTTCCAAGTTATTGTTATGTGCTCTAATTCTGATAGTTGATCAGGTTTCAAGTTGAAAGAGACTTCAAGAGTAGGACCTCGTCCCACAAAGCCAATTGAGATTTATGAATTTGAGGGGTATCCTATCACTCTTCGTTGTATTAACCTGCTTTCGGTTTTCTCCCTGAACTTGAATAAAATGATTATTTCTCTCTTCTTTTAAAAATTTGATGAAAGTCCCATATTGACTTTAATTTTGCTCATCAATTTCTGGGAAAGAGAAGTAATCTAATATTCCTTTGTCTCTTGCTTCAAATTTGGAATTGCATGGGGATACTCCAGCTGTCCATTCTGTCGAAAGGTAAAATCATACCTCATGGGATCTCTTATGGAGCCATGGAAATCTTTTCCTTTTCTCTCTACTTCCAGTAGTGACAATGATTTGATTTCTTTTGAATGAAAGCATATTAGTATTCAGTTCACTATCTATGTTTTAAATTCTGAGGTTGCATACATTTGTAACAAATGAATGCGCCATGTGGTTGCTGAACTAAGAAATTTGATGTACTCTAGTATCTTCATGTCTGTCTGGTTTTAAATGGTTTGAAATAGGTTTCTGAAACTTGCTTGACTGGTATTATATGTCATGACAATGAGTCAGATTATAAATAATCTTCTTGAAGTAACATCCCATGATCTTTTTCTATATTTGACCCTACGTATTTGTAATGTGTTGTTTGCTGTTTTGTGCTGACATTTTTACCATTGTAACAGGTTAGGGAAGTTGTAAGCTTTTTGGATCTTGATGTATTATATTATCCTTGCCCAAGGAATGGTCCAAACTTTCGTCCGAAGGTTCTTCAAATCGGTGGAAGACAACAATTTCCATACATGGTTAGACTACTTCACTTAAGAGGAAATTCTTAGGAAGTGAGTTACCAAATATTTAGGCAATATATTATGAAAAGCATGCCTGTAAATCATGGTATTTCTTTTGCTGAATGCATATATTTTCCTAATTTTCATGCCTATCACTTAAACTTCAGTTTTGTTACTCAACGCACCAGTTTCATTTTGTGGGTGAAGAAATAAGACTTTTGGTTGGATATTTGAGTGCTTGAAAAAGATTATGAATATATGATAGATTTGGACGGAAGTAAAGCATATTAACATAGTTAAAGATCATTGTATTAGGAAGGACAACACTATTAATATAATTATCACTCCCTGGAGTAAAAGAATCCTGCAATGCTTTTGCATGACTTCTTCTTAGCACCTAGAGATGTGTCGGCATGGAGTTTCAACAGATGGGATGTTAAAGTTATCCATTTTATTGTCCTCATTGGTTCATTATCTTATGAACAAGGTTTTTTAGTTTATTTTTTGATTTATATCCGATGACGAGTTGTTGTAATTCATAGATGAATTTGGATTTTTCCTTTATTTCAGGTGGACCCTAACACCGGTGTTGCAATGTATGAGTCTGATGCCATAATCAAGTATTTGGTGGATAAATATGGTATATTACTTAATCTGCTGTTTCAGCTTCTACAGTTGATTTTCTTCCATTAGTTAATCTTATTTATTTGTCGTATTTATGTGTCTTTGAAAGATTACGGTATAAGTTAGAAGTTTAAGATTTTTTTCTTGTATTCCAGCAATCCTTCTCAGCGATTTTCAACATTGACATAGTTTTCTTTTATTGGCATTCATGCCAAGTTCTAGGAAATCACTGCTTTTGCTAAAGATGGATATAAATTAGGCTGATATAGAGTGAGGGATTTGTTCACCTAATGAAGAGAAATCCTTTTAAGAGAGATGCTAAAGTGTGTTTTTGAAAAGTGTCCCAATTAAGGTCTTGTTGGGGCCTCTTTAGGTTTCGATGTTAAGATCCCTTGGAATACATTTTGGTTATTATTATTAATGTGTCTTTTGTTTGTTGTAGAACTTTCACTGAAGAATTGCTGACTTAGTTTCCTGATATGAATTATAGGTGACGGGACCGTTCCTGTGATGTTGTCACTAGGTCTTTTAACAGTAAGTTTGAATCATTTGGACCTTATTTAGTAGTGTTAGATTCCATATCTATATTAATTTTTATTTTCATTCGCCAAAGATATTTGTTTAATGCCAACTTGACATTGCTGTGAACTTGAACATTGCAGACTTTGACAGCAGGGCTTGCAATGATTGCTCGCCTAGGGAAGGCAAGATACCTTATTCTTTCCAATAATTGCTTGATGTGATATGTGAATTCTTTTTTAATTCTTCTGGAAGCTCTTTAAACATGGAATCAAAAGTATGCCATCTTCTACAAAATATCATGTGTGCTTGCTTACTTGTATGCGCATGTCCCACACGCCAACCGTTTGAGACCCCAATCCTTAGCCATTGCATCTCAATGGGTTGTCAAGCCAATAATGATGTTACCTGTTGATCCTGTAAACCAGTAAGGCACAATGCCCCAAAAAATGAAAACCTCTTCTATCCCTAATCTTTTTTGTTTCAATACCATATTTTCCTCACTCTCTCCCTCTCATTTTTCATGTCTCTCTTGTTTCTAGTAGCCATGAACGAGAAGATTTCTTCCTCTCTTTGTTTACTTCTCTTTGGCTTCTTCATTTTCTCTTTTCCATTTTTTCTTATTTATCGAAAGGCCCAATGAATTGGGATTTCTTCCTCTCTTTGTTTACTTCTATTTGGCTACTTGATTCTCTCTTTTCCATTTTTTCTTCCCTTCACTTCACAATGAAACCATTTTAGGAGAAGAAGACTTTGATGTTGCAAAAGAAAACTGGGCCCCCTAATGGGTTAGACAGAGTATGGGGTTGATTTCTTGCTGTGATTTCCTTTTGTTTTCTTGGTTCCCATCATCTTGCCTTCTGTGTCTTCTCTCTATGATTATAGAGTTTCTTACAAAAGCTCCTAGATACCTAGTCCGTGTTTGAGGAGGAAATGCCCTTCATGACTGAGTTTTCAGGCAAAGCAGTGTAAATACTCTCTCTCTCTCTCTCTCTCTTAAATTGCCTCTTCTCCATAGATTCTTCTCTCTCTATCAATGCTAAGGTAGAAGGGAAAGCCTTTTGGCAATTTTCGGTTGCTGATCTCTCTTCTGTCACATAAAGATTTTTATTTTTTAGAAAAGGAAGATATCTCTTCTTATGATATAGAGAGCCTCCCTAATCTTGTAATTCGAGGTATGTTCTAATTCCGAATGTGTGTGTGTGTGTGTGTGTGTGAGAGAGAGAGAGAGAGAGAGAGAGAGAGAGAGAGAGAGAGAGTACTTCTACTCTCTTA